TAAATTTATCATTAAAAAAAATTGACATAGCAAAATAAATTAATTTTATGTCATATAAATATGAACTCCACAATGAATAAAATTAAAGAAAAATCAGTAAAAATAACTTATGAATAAACTTAATTAGTGAAATAAATACTATAGTATTATTATGTATTTAAGAGTTAAAATGCATGACGATGAACATTATTCTAACAATAAATATTAAGTATGATATTATCATTGGCTTAATGACTGCTACAGCTTTTTTTGGGAAGACATCAATTTTTTAATAACCCAGTGACGGCAACAATTTAATGTTACGGTTATTAAGCCAATGGTTATATCATTTTTTATATGACAATGATATATCCTACAATTTTTATTAATGACAACTTTTTACGGTTCTTTTTTTTTTTTTTAGAAAAACATCAATTATAATACATTTTAAATTTTAAATTTAAATATATTGTAATATCATTAATATATTTTTCACTAATCAAGTTTGTTCTTAATTTTTTTTTATGAGTTTTTTTTAATTTTATTTATTTGTGGAGTTCATATTACATGGCATAAAAATAATAAATTTAGTTGAGTAATTTTAGTGATACAAAGGTCTAAGATGAGTGATTTTATTGATACAAAATTAAATTTAATGACTTTACTAGATAAATTCTGAAAGTTAAGTGACATTTTGAGATATTAACTCCTATTCTTAATAAGCACGATAAATAAAATGGACCGAAGATGTTTTAGAAAGGAAATGGGGACCAAAACAAAAAGGACCATTGAGAATGGTGATACTAATATTTTTGGGGAGGCAAAATCAATACATGATTTAATGATACAATAATTAGTACACCTTACACTCCATGTCATGATTGACTTACTTTTTATTTTTATTTTTTTTAGAGGAAAAAAAAGAAAAAGAAAACTATATTTTTTTCTATATTAACCCCTTTCATTGCATTTGCACCTCTACTCACCAATCTTTAAACTACATAAAGTCCTATCTTTTTTCTATCCTCTTTGAGAAAAGAATTAATTTCCCTAAATTCTTCATATTCTACTTGAAAAAACTATCTTCTTTTTTTTTTCAATTTATTTTCAAGAATCCTATAGAAGATAATATTAGAGAAAAAAAAAGATGTTGGAAAATCAAGATTTGCGATTGAGTTTGAGTCTTAGTTTTTCAGAGAACAAAACAACAAATCCGTTGCAGCTAAATTCTTGGATTGGCTCATTTCCTTCTTCAGGTTTGTTCTTTTTCTTCTTGATCTATAAATGTCTTACAACAATTTATTATTATCTGAAAGGATTGTGATAGAATGAATAGTATTCGTATATTCTTAATTAGAGGTCTCAGTTCAAGTCTCGGATATTAAAGTCTTGAGTATAGATAGAAAAAATTACGCACAGGATTATGAGAAACAATCTCTCTATCGTATAAAGGACAACTCATACTCAGATTATATTGAATATGTTATTATTATCATGGTTAAATATGAAAAAGTTTCTAGTGAGGGTATATCGAAAATCGTTATTCTACAGCTCATTAGTGGGGGAGACATGAATTTGGAAAAAAGTGTGCAATTTTTTTTCTCTATTGTGTTAAGGATGTGCAAAATGAAAAGAGGTTTAGATCTGAAACTTTATACCCTCTTCGATTTAATTTATATTTCTTATTTTTCTTGTTAGTCCATATGACTGTCATTCTTCCTTATTTAATGTTACTTTTTAATTTCAATTTTCTATTTGACACGTTTAAGATCACAAAATTTATCTTAAATTTAAAATCATAAATTAATTTTTTTTTTTGAAATTTTGTGTCAAATCAAAATAAGATAAACAAAGTAAATAGGAAGAAATAGTTTTTTTTCTCTAAAAACTTTCTAATAGTCCAAATTTTAATTATTATTTTTCAGATAGGAATTTGGAGAAATGCAGAACATTTTTGAAGGGAATAGATGTGAACATAATACCAACAATTACAGAGGAAGAAGAAGAAGAAGTTGGAGTTTATTCACCAAATAGTAGTATTTCAACTTTAAGTGGAAATAAAAGAAATGAAAGGGAAATAATTAATTGTTGTGAAGAATTGGAAATTGAAAGAGAATGTTCTAGAAGTATTAGTGATGAAGAAGATGGAGAAACTTCTAGAAAGAAATTAAGACTTACTAAAGATCAGTCTGTTGTTCTTGAAGAAAGTTTCAAAGAACACAACACTCTCAATCCTGTAAGTCTTTTTATTTATTTTATATATGCACGATTAGACATCTCAACTCATCTTTACTGTGTTATTTATCGAAGTTTAGATTTTGATTATTTACGCATGTTAAATGCCTTTTCAGCATAAATATTGGCTAATATTATTTTGTGTTTTTTTTTCTTTCACAGAAACAAAAACAGGCTTTGGCAAAGAGACTAGGATTGAGGCCTAGACAAGTGGAGGTTTGGTTTCAAAACAGGAGGGCAAGGTGAGAATAATACTCCCTTTGATTCAATTTGATTGTTCCGTTTTGATTTGACACAAAAAAAATTGCATCTCGCGATATTAAATTAAAATATGTAAAATATACTAAAATGTCATTTAATCTTAAACATATCACGTGGAAAGCAGAAAGCCTGTTTACTGACAACTGTCCAAATTGCAAATAAGTTGCATAAATTAGTTGTGTGATTTATATAGTTTTTATATGTTACTATTACTTTTAACAAAATATAGTTCAAATCTAAAATAATATTTGTCTTAGGATTTTTTTTATTAATGAATCAATCAATTTTTTTTTTGAACAGGACAAAGTTGAAGCAAACTGAAGTAGATTGTGAATTGTTGAAGAGATGTTGTGAGAATCTAACAGAAGAAAACAGGAGATTACAAAAGGAAGTTCAAGAGCTAAGGGCACTAAAGCTATCACCTCAATTCTACATGCAAATGACTCCTCCAACCACCCTCACCATGTGCCCATCCTGTGAGCGCGTCGCGGGCCCATCTACTCCGTCTACATCAGGGGCCGCGAGCGTTGATGCTCGGGCCAACCAAATGGTCCTAGCCCGACAACGGCCCGTGCCGTTTAATCTCTGGACCGCCTCCCCCGTCCCGCATAGGCCCATTAATGCCCTCCACCCTAGGTCATAATTTCGCCAACAACGAAAGGGCAATTAGGTCAAATGGGCTCATTACACTAATTTTGGAAAATCAACAACATGATGTGTATCAATTTTACTCTTTTTAGTATAGTAAGTTGCAAATGGTGGGAATTCTAGAGAAGAGGACTTTAGATGTAAAGTTTAGCAAGTGATATATCCAATTATTCAAAAAAAAAAAATTTGCTAAGTTCACTGTCTTAATTAACATCATTTTATTTCTTTTAAAAATTAAGTTTATGCGCGCATGTATTTTAATCCGTGATAAATACACTAATCCCACATCACAAATTACGCTATTATCACAAGAATTCGAGCCTCGGAGCTAATACTAGCATATATCATTGCAAGAGTTCTTGAAATTTACAACCTTAGAATAACATTCTGTCTACTTAGAAAAATAATCTTTTCAGAAATCATAAAATTATAAATACCCATAATGAGTACTCAAGGGTGTGCCACCCAGAATCGGGCTGGGCTTGAAGTTTTCACCTTACCGACAAGTCGAGAGCAAATAGTTGTTGGTCGTGACTATTATCATAATTAAAGATCATGTTCTGGACATGCCACATATAATACATTACGGAAAATGATCATGTGATATTAGTCATTAACTTATTTAAACGGTGTAACTTTTCGATGAAAGGGGTTTAATTGATCACTTGACAGATTCAAAAGAATAAAGACAATTATATATGTTCATGAAGTTAAGAATGAGATAAGACATTGCTCCACTCTTGTCTAAAGAATAAAGTGTTGCTAGGGATATTCCATTTCTTCTTTTCCTTCCTATATGTTTGCTTTGTTAATTAAAGTTATTGTATTTGCCTTCAATTAGATCATAGCATTCTAATTCGAAGCAATTTTTTTTTCTTTACTTGATCAAGAATTGTACAATGGATATACTTTCTAATGCTGTTATTGTGGTGGGAAAGTTTGTATGTAAATGCATCTATCCTAAGATTGAAAATATTGTCCGTTTCTCATCAAAAATTGAAAATCTAAGTATGGAAATAGATAAGCTAACATGGCTTAGAGAAGATATCAGAGTAATGGTGCAAGCAGCTGAGCGAGAAGGCTACAAACCAAAACCCAATGTTCTCAAGTGGATCGAAGATGCACACGAGCTAGAGAATGAATGGAAAGCTATGCAAGAGCACATTGCAACAACAAAAAGACTTACATTTAAGTGTTGTCCAAAATGCGGCCTTCGCATTAAAGTCTCCACTCAAGCACAAAACATACGAGAAAAACTTTTCAGGCTTAAAGAAGTCGGAGAAAGCTTTGGATCCAATTTGGTGGTAGAAGATTACTTGATGAAAAGAAATGAGTTCATCCCGGGAGAAGACCAGTCAACAGCAACAAGGAATCTCAACAAAATCTTGCAACTGTTAGAAGATGATAAGGTAATGTTGGAATTGATAAGCTTCAACAACATTAATTTCAATTAACTAATGTTGGAATTGATATGCGACAATAAATATGTACATTTACAAGAGTGTTAAAGTCTTTACCAACATTAGTTAATTGACATTAGATTGTTATCTAATGTTGCTATAGGCTTTAAAGGTATTTACAAAGAGTGATAGAAGTTTAGCTGAATACCTCTTTGTTTAGATCAATTGCCTCTGTTATTTTATCTTTGTAAAAAAATGTATTACTATATGATTATATGTTGATATACATAGAAAGCTCAAAAGGTTTTGGAAATGCTACCATTTATAAGTTTTTAATTAATTCCAAACAAACTTTAAATTTATTGTAAGGTGCACATTCATTATATTGTATTTATAAGGACATTTTGATTTTTTAACTTTTCACTTGAAGTTAGTATAATATGATGTATATATATATGATCATTGTTGCATCTTTTACTTGTGGGTAAATTATTTTTTGGGTATTTGTATACTTTTAGGTATGCATCATCGGCGTGTGGGGTAAAGGAGGAGTTGGGAAAACAACATTGGTGAAGAATATGAACAATGAGCTTCTAAAGATTAAGGTGTCAAATTCTAAACTTTCTTTTGGTGTTGTGATATGGGCTACAGTGCTGAAACCACCAATAGATATAAGAAAGGTTCAAGAACAAATTGCCAGAAGATTAAACCTAAAGGTAGATAACGAGGGAAACGTAATAAGCATTGCTAGCAAAATCTATGAAAGGCTCAAGCAAGAAAAAAGTTTCCTTCTCATACTGGATGATGTTTGGGAAGCTATAGATTTGAATCATGTAGGTGTGCCCCAACCTGAAGATCCCTCAAGAAGCAAGATAATTGTAACTTCTCGTTTTTTAAGTGTTTGTAAGCAAATGAAAACACACACCGAAATGAATATTTCCACATTGGATGAGGATGAATCTTGGCATCTGTTTATCAAAAATGCGGGAGATGTCGCCAAAAAGGAGGATATTCAGCCATTTGCAAAGGAAATTGCAAGAGAGTGTGGTGGTTTACCTTTAGCAATCACTGTTATTGGAACATCTATGAGAGGAAAGACAAGGGTCGAGCTCTGGGAAGATGTTTTGAAATCACTTAGAATGTCCGAACCTCATAACAAAAGTGTAGAAGAAAAGGTTTACATGGTCATCAAGTCGAGTTTTGATTCTTTAGAATCTCAGGATATTGAATCATCCTCTGTGAACAAAAAGAGAGGTGATATTCGAAGTTGTTTGTTGTATTGCTCCTTATATCCGGCGGCTATTTCAACAGATGATCTCATACATTGCTGGTGGGCAGAGGGGTTCCTCGGTGAACATGACACACATGAAGAAGCCTACAACAGGGGAGTCACAATGATTGGAAGTCTAAAAGATACCTGCTTGCTACGAGAAGCCCATGAGATAGATTATGTGAAGATGCATGACGTGGTTCGTGATGTTGTTAGATGGATAGAAAATTCCTCTGGGGATGAACACAACTCTATTATTCGAGCTGGAGTTGGGTTGGCTGGGATATCACATATTAAAGTATCATCTTCTGTCAAGAGAATATCTTTCGTAAGTAATGAAATCGAATGTCTACCTGATTGCTTCACAAAATGCCCCGAGACAACTTCTTTACTTCTGCAAAACAATGAACTCCTTGAGGACATTCCCCATGGATTTTTTTTGTCATTTCCAGCTCTAAGAGTTGTGAATCTGAGTGCAACTGGAATTAGAGCACTGCCTTGTTCCATCAATAGTTTATGTCAACTACGTGCTCTAATACTACAAAATTGCAATGAGTTGAAAGAGTTACCACCTATTGGTAAACTTTACAATTTGCAGTTGCTTGATTGTGATAATACAAGGTTATGTTGTCTTCCGCAAGGAATGGATAAGTTGACAAATCTGAGGCTATTAAAACTACCTGTAAATGATTTGAAGAACATCAGCAAAGGATTCTTCCTAAAATTGTCTAGGATTGAAATATTAAATATGCTGGATACTGAAACGACAAATTTGAGGCTGTTAAATCTTCTTGGACCAATTTCTTTTGATGAGATATCGTCTCTACACAATCTGACATCTCTTTTTATTAGATTGGATAGTTCATCAATTTTCAATGGAGACCACACCTGGATGTCTAGATTGAAAAGTTTTCACATTGAAATTGGGAGTTCTCCAACGCATGTACCATTCAACAAGTCAACAAGGATGATAAGCATCTCCAAGTGTGAAATTTTCAGTAATGGAGAGCTCTCAAGCATGTTGCAGTTTGCTTCAGATTTGTACTTGGTAAAATGCATGGGTGTCAGGAAGTTGATTGCGTACAACAGTTTTGATGGATTAAAATCACTATGCATAGAGAGATGCTCTTGTGATTTTGGACCATCAAAAGAAGGAAGTGCACAGTTTGACCCTCTGCCAAATTTGGAACATCTCAGGCTCATTTCTGTTAATCATTTAAAGAGTGCTCATGATTTCGGTCAACTTCTTGGTCTAAGATTTTCTAAATTACGCCAACTAGATATACACTTTTGTGCAAGTTTAACATGTCTTTTTAACACTTTTTCTGTACCTAAGCACTTGGAAGACATTTCAATTACCTTTTGTCCTCAGCTGGTAGAGTTGCTAGTCCAACGCGGCTCAAGTCAGGCAACACCTGTCAACTCAGAAATCCCAAGAGTACGGAAGTTACATTTGAGAAACTTACCAAAATTAGGAACGTTGGGGGAGCCACGGAGTATGTGGGAACACCTGGAGGAACATGAGGTGATCAATTGCGATCGAATTGAACACCAGAAGTTGCCTGTCTCCATTCAAAACACCAACATCAAAGTTAGAAAAGGATTCGCAGAATGGTGGAGCCTAATGGCAGTTTCAGGTAATGTGCCAATTAACTTTCAGATTTCTCAATTGCTTGATTTTGTCTTTCTTTTTATCTTCTGTTCAAAAGGGTTTATAATGTTCATGGTTAGTTCACTATGTCTTGTTGACCTTACTAGTAGTTGTAGGACTACTATTGTAGTTTCTTTTTTTTCTATTTCAATTAGTACTATCTATTATTTTGTGTAGTTGTCATTTTTTTAGTATTGTTTTGTTGTAGTTCTGTTCTGTTACTATCTATACTGTTTCTTGAGCCAGATTTCTATCGGAACCAGCCCTTCTACTTCACATTTGAGGTAGAGGTAAGGTCTGCATACACTCTACCATCCCTAGACCCCACTGTGTGGTATCTGTGTATGTTGTTGTTATTTAACCATGTATTGATCTTGACATTTTGTTGCTTCGTTCAGGGGACTAAAGAAAGCAGAGGAAGGAACTTTCTGCACCAGAGAGACAGAGTTAACCGGTCGAGTTTGTTGTGTTGTATTTCCTGTCAGATGTCTTAAGTTTTTTCTGCCAATAACTGTTCCTTGTTTGTACTATTAGTGATTTCTGGCTCCGGTATTTTGATTGTTTGATTGAACACCAAGTAATTTCTTGTTTTGATTGTGTTGTGTGATCATCTTATTATATTGTAATGACATTTTAGAGCATTCTCAAATTGTACAATCAAAATTAAGCACAGATATATATACCAGCCATCAAGAGTTTGAAGCTCCAAATTCTGGTTTGCTTGGTATGACAGAAGTCGTTTTACTGAATTTTTCCTCAGAAATGGACATTCCGGTGTTGGGCTCAAGAGTGAAAAGTTACTTTTGATAAAGATTGACAATATCATCATTAGCAAATCAGACTGTTATGATGGAATTTTTTACAATGTCTAATTTTGGTTAAAAGCTCCCTTTGGTTGGTTGCTAAATTTCCCTTTGAGTTGCAATTAGTTTGGTTGTGATATATTTTCTGTCAGATGTCTCAAGTTTTTTCTGCCAATAACTGCTCCTTGTGTTATGATGGCTTTTTTTACAATGTCTAATGTTGGTTAAAAGATTACCTTTTTAAAAAATAAATAAAAAGCTCCCTTTGGCTGGTTGCTAAATTTCCCTTTGAGTTGCAATTAATTTGGTTGTGTAAGATAATTCTTTTCTCCCTATAACAAGTTCATATAAATACAGCTATGAGCTAAAACGCCATTAAAACTCACAAACTCTCTACTCCAATTTCTTAAGCGGTAGAGCCTGATGTGTGAGTTAGGACTTAGACACACGTTCATGGGTCCGAAACAAAAGTGTAGAAGGGTGGACGTACACATTGTCCATCAAGTTTTGGTGTCAGATGAAGTCCTTATAATTAGTTGTTCGATACACAAAGCAAGGTATTTTAGTGGAGAAGGGTAGCCCATTAGAACAAGAAAAAGCAAAAGTTTTAGGTCTGTTGAGAATGGGAATCGAACTAGCTAGAAAGTTTAAATATGAAAAAGTAAACACACAAAGAGGATTCAACCTCTACTATATATTACTACTACAAAACAATTAATATTAACCAGTATAATTTTCCGCCGAATGGACCAAACAGATTCTTGTGTTACTTCAGTAAAACAAAAATACAATCATTTTACAAAAGAGGAAAAGTCATTGCTTCACTCTTGTCTCAAGAATAAAGTATTGCTGGGACATTCCATTTCTTCTTTTCCTTCATATATACTATGTTTTGCTTTGTTGATTAAAGTATTTGTATTTTCCTTCAATTTTACTTATTCTTTTTTACTAGTTTTTCTTTTTGCTCTGCTATAAATAATGAAGAAATTGAACACTCAGTTTATAATTAATTGATCATCTTTGAGAGCATTCTTTCTAATCACAAATATTTTTATTTTTCTCAATGGATATACTTATTAATGCTGTAGGTGGCATTGTTGTTGAGGTGGGAAAGTTTGTATGTAAGTGCATCTATCCAAAGATTGAAAATATTGTCCGTTTCTCGTCAAAAATTGAAAATCTAAGGGAGGAAATGGAGAAGCTAACAAAGTTTAGAGATGAAATCAATGGAAAGGTGGTGAAAGATGAGGGAGAAGGCTATAAAACAAAACCAGATGTTATCAAGTGGATCAAAGATGTTTGCGAGCTGGAGGATGAATGAGAAACTATGCAACAAAGCATTGCAGCAGCTAAGACATTTGCGTATAAATGCTGGAGCCTTCGCTCTCAACTCTCCACTCAAGCACAGAAGATTCAAGATCAACTTTCCAGGCTTAAACAAGTCGGAGAAAGCTTTGGATCAAATTTGATGGTAGAAAATTACCAGATGAAAAGAGTTGAGTTCATCGCGGGACCATCAGTAGAGGGTCAGTCAGCAGCAACAAGGAATCTCAACGAAATCCTACGACTATTGGAAGATGATAAGGTAATGTTAGAAATAATCTAAAATTTTATTTTACCATTTCATACTTGCTAATTTCATTAATTCCTATCTAATTAGATTTTATAGTCAAAAGTAGTTTTGTTTTTCCTATTATACTAAGGAGGTTAAGTGGAGATTAATGTCACCACTCACCACCCATTTTCTAGTCAAATTTTGTTTTGAACTATTTTTAAAAATAATAATAAGATACTCATTTTATTATTTTATGAAATTTTATTGAAATGAAACTTTTGTTTTAAACTAATTGTTAAAAAAAATTTGTTTCAACAAAATTTATTAAAATAAACATCATATTATTTTTGAAAATGTTGTGTTACTACATGTAAATTGAATTCTTAGGATAAAAAAAAGAGTAGGTAATTTTATTGGTTCGTTAACTCCATATTTATTGTAATTTGGAAATGAGTTTAGAACATTATGTACATGTAAACATACTAAAAAGTGAGGGAACAAAAATATCGGTGAAAAAAAGGCATGGGAAAAAGAGATGAAAGACAAGAATTGACAAGCAAAGCATGAGTTTAGTCACCCGTAGGACTTATATTTATAATATAGAATAACTCCATATTTATTGTAATTTGGAAATGAGTTTAGAACATTAACTTTGAATATAAACTGGGACAATTGAAGAGTACTAACAATATTGAGGTTTACATAAAGTTTTTGCCAGTATAGTGCTAGTTGGGTTGGTGGGGATTCAGTATTTTCAGTTTAAAGTTATATTTCAATAACATTTAATAAAATAATTAAAATGAGTATTTTATTATTTTTAAAAAATTAGTTTAAAATAAAAGTTGTATTTTAACAAAATTTAATAAAATAATTTAAAATGAGTATCTTATTTTTTTTTAAAAATATTTTGAACAAAATTGTATTTTAATAAAATAAATAATTAAAATAAGTATCTTATTACTTTAAAAAAAAATTAATTTAAAACAAAAATTGTATTTCAACAAAATTCAATGAAAAAATCATTTAAATTCGTTGTGTGACTTTTTAAGTTAAATATCCATAGTTGAGTGACTTTGTAGAATATCTATAGTTGAGTGACTTGGAAGTTATAAAAGAAACTTGAGTGATTTTCTATGAGAAGAACTCTTAGTTGAGTGAGTTTATGTGTGAAGAATACTTAGTTTGTAGAGAATAACAGAAGAAAAATATAATCGGAAAACCTTCTGCTAGCCCACGATCGTTAACTAATCGGAAGATTTAATTAACTAAGAGGAAGTTAGAAAGGAGAAGACATATTTTGAAAAGAAGAACTTGGTTATGGAAGAATACTCTTTGATTTGGGTTGTTTACAAATGACAATGACCACCCCTATTTATGTTTTATGTTGTGACAAAAAGATGAAAACGAAAATCCAAAAATAAAGAACACCAAGTTTAACATGGAAAAATCCATCAAACCGAAGGTAAAAACCACGGGATCGACAAGATCCGAATTGCTTCACTATACTAATAAGAGGGTTACAAATATTCTCCTAATTAATGGCTACACAACAAGTGCCAAAAGTGAAGAAACAATTGCCACACCAACAAAAGATAAATAGAAAGAAAATCACCCAAACCCAACTATTGTTCGGGATCTAAATCCGATCTCCACCGTTCAAATCAAACGCCGAGGTGTTGGGAACACTCAGTCAAAATTTCAGTCTGATCCAACGGTTAATTAATCAAGTAACGCAATCTGAAGGTTGCTAGTCGAAGAAAAAAACTACAGCAAAAAGAACTTTTTCTTCTCTCCTCTCTCTTGTTGAAAGCTCTCTAAAAAAACCTATCTTATGTCTTAACGTCTTTCAAAGACAATACTAATGTACAATTGAATAATTCTCTCAACCCGTCTTATTTATAGAGTTGTGCTTTTCCTTATAAAGCTAAAATCAACTCCAAATAGAACTACAATTCCAATCACTTTCCCAATAGAAATGGAAACCAAATAAGATAAAGAATAGTTCCAATTCTTTTCCAAATAGGATTAGACCATGGACCTTTGACTAGAACATGGGTCATAGTCCAACAAATTTCCCCTTCAACCAAGGGGCTAAATGAACTTCAAGTGGAGGAACTCTTAACAGGCTTCATGCCTGCCACATTTCTATAAAACTCATGCTTGTCTACGATCACCACTTTTGTAAGCATATCTGAAGAATTGTTATCAATGTATATCTTCTCAACCTCAAATAATTTCTCTTCCAGAGCCATTCTAATCCAATGATACTTTCTACTAATATGTTTGGACTTATAATGAAAGGTAGAGTGCTTGGTGAAATAAATAACACTTTGATTATCACAAAATAAGACAAATATTAATTGTTCAAAGTCAAGATCTTTGATAAACTCCTTTATCCAAAGCAATTCTTTGACACCTTCAATGATTGCAATATATTCAGCTTATGTGGTAGATAGAGCTATGCATTTCTGTAGTCTTCATTGTAAAGAAATAAGCCCCCCTCCAAAAGTGATCAAATAACTAGAAGTTGATTTTGAATTGCCAAGATTTCCTCCTAAATCAGAGCTTGTGTAGCATACAAGTTCAAGCTTTCCACTACCAAAGCATAACTCCATATCTAAAGTACCCTTCAAATATCTTAGTATCCATTTCACTACAACCCAATGATCTTTTCCATACTAACATATGCAATATATATCTGGTCTAGTGCAAACCACAACATACATCAAACTACCAACCACAGAAGAGTATGGAATACATGAAATCTCCTTCTTCTCTTCATTAGTAGATGGACTCTAGGACATACTCAACTTAAAGTGTTTAGCAAGAGGCGTACTAACCACTTTTGCATATGTTATATTGAACCTCTTGAGTACTTTCTCAATATACTTCTTCTGGGATAATGATAACTCCTTTTTGTGTCTATCTTGATGAATTTGTATTCCTAAAATCTTCTTTGTTGGCCTCAATTCCTTCATCGCGAACTCTTTGCTCAACTCCTTCTTGAGGACTGCAATTCTAGATTTATTTTTGCCAACAATTAGCATATCATCCATATAAAGTAGTAAGATAATAAAATCATCAGAGAACTTTGAAAGAATACACAATGATCAGAAGAAGTTTTTTTGTATTCTTTAAATTCAAACTTCAAGTACCACTGCCTTAGAGCTTGTTTTAAGGCATACAAGCTCTTTCTCAATTTGTATACACAATTTTCTTTTCCTTTAACTACGAAACCTTCAAATGTAAATCTCTTCTTCTAAATCACCATGAAGAAAGACAGTCTAGACATCCATCTGCTCAATCTCTAAATCTAGACTTGAGGCTAAGCCTAGAACCATACGAATAGAGGACATTTTTACAATATGAGAGAAAATTTCATGAAAGTCAATTCCCTTTTTTTGACCAAAACCGTTGACAACTAACCTAGCCTTATACCTAGGTGCAAATGTGTGTTGCTCTTGCTTTAATCCGAAGATCCATTTATTTGTTAAAGCTTATTACCTTTCGGTAACTCCACTAGCTCATATGTGCCATTCTCGTGAAGTGACTTCATTTTGTCTTCCATGGCTTCTATCCACCTATTTCTATGAGCATCTAGCATGACTTCTTAAAGTTTCTATCTATATGTGATAATAAAGCTAAAATAGAAAATGTGGGGTGACACCCTTCTTATCAATAAATACTTATTTATTCTTATCAATTTTTTTTTGACATTTTTTGTTACTTTTTTCTTAAAATAATTATTGCCTCAATTTTTATTTTATTTTTTCTAGCATTTTTTTTATAATTTTGGATTACTATTTATCTAATTTCTCAAAATTTTGGATTCTTTTGTCATACTAAATACAATATGTTTTATAATAATTACATTCAATATATTAAACAATATGTCGTAGGAACGAAAAGAAAATTGTCATTTAAAAAAAAATGGTTAGATTATAATTTATTATGGTTAAGAAAGATAAAGATATTATTTCAATATCCCATAACCACATTCAATACATTAAAAATTAATTGAATAACTGTAAATGAAAAAAGAATTACCATTTAAGGAAAATAAATATTTAAAATAACATAGTAATTAAGAAAAGAGTAAGACATTATTTTAATATCTCAATTTGTAACTTTTGACCCACTACTCAATTAAACCGAAAGTGCATTTAACAATATTAAAGGGTTATTAGTTTAATATGTTTTCTCATTCTACAAATTATATTCAATTAAACTTAGTTTTAAAGATAAAATAACGGCTCTATTTAAATTATTATCACTATATGTCAAAAAAAATTATCATGAAAAAGCTTTTCTTGCTCCTTATTTTGATTTTTTACTATTATTATTTTTTCAGTCATTTTTCAATGATTTTTTATTTTGATTTAAAATTTAATGTTTATTCTTAAACTCTGATGGTACAAATTGATGTGGAGTAGAATATAATAAATGATAATTCTTCTACTAAATAAGAAGATATAACGAAGTCACTTGTTGATGCATTTGTTTAGTATTACATTGGTATTTCACATTATGAGATATTTTTTAGACATTTAAGAAGAAAGGTACACCATATTCTTCCTCATTTAATAGATGTAAAATTTGTCAAGCTTTAATTTTTATTTTACAATCTTCATATTATTAAAACAAATAATAATATTACGGTTAAACAATAGAAAATTAATTAAAAATATTTAATTTTTGACGATCGCACAAAGCGCAGTCAAGTTCTCTAATATGTGATGATGATTCATATATATTTACATTTTTGTCCAAAAAAAGATTGTAAAATAGAAGGGCAGTAGTCACCTTTATAAGGGCATTATGATATTTGAACTTTTCACTTGAAGTTAGTATAATATGATATATATGACCATTGTTATACTCCCTCCGTCCACTATTGTTTGTCAGGTATACTAAAAGTAGTTGTCCAAAATTAATTGTCAATTTAAACAATCAAAGAATAATTAGTCACTTTTTTCCAATTCTGCCCTTAATATTTACATAACTACTAGTTTCAAAAAGTAGCCATTTTAAAGTTACAAGACTACTTTAATGTGAAAAAAGTTGTGTTTATAGTTTTCAAAGTACAAACCATTTTAATAATGATTGATAGTAGGGTTATATTAGTCAAATTGCACCTTATATTAAATTTTTCTTAAGGGTTGTGCATCATCTTACTCTGACAAACAATAGTGGACGGAGGGAGTACTAAATTACTATATTTTTGGGTACTTGTATCATTTTAGGTATACATCATTGGTGTGGTGGGTCCAGGAGGAGTTGGTAAAACAACATTGGTAAAGAATCTGAACAATGAGCTTCTAAAGATTAATGTGTCAAATTCTAAATTGTCTTTTGGTGTTGTGGTATGGGTTACCGTGCCCAAACCACCAATAGACATAAAAAAGATTCAAGCACAAATTGTGAGCAGATTAAACCTGAAGGTAGATAACGAGGGAAGTGAAGTAAGTATTGCCAGCAAAATCTTGGAAAGGCTCAAGCAAGAAAAAAGTTTCCTTGTCATACTAGATGATGTTTGGGATGCTATAAATTTGGATCATGTAGGTGTGCCCCAACCCAAAGCTCACACAGGAAGCAAGGTTATTATAACTTCTCGTTTTGGGGATGTTTGTAAGATGATGAAAACAGACACCGAAATGAATATTTCCACATTGAAGGAAGATGAATCTTGGCAATTGTTTATCAAAACTGCGGGAGATGTTGCCAATCGGGAGAATATTCAACCAATTGCAAGGGATATTGCAAGAGAGTGTGGCGGTTTACCTTTAGCAATAACTGTTATTGGGGCATGTATGAGCGGGAAGAACAGGGTCGAGGAATGGGTAGATGCTTTGGATTCACTTAGAATATCTGAACCTTATGAAAAAGATGTAATAGATGAGGTTTACAAGGTAATCAAGTTGAGTTTTGATTATTTAGAATCTCCGGATACTGGAAGCAAAAGGAGAGGTGACATTAAAAGTTGTTTCTTGTATTGCTCCTTATATCCGGTGGATATTCCAACAGAGGATCTCATACATTGCTGGTGGGCAGAGGGGTTCCTCGGTGAACATGACACATATGAAAAGGCTTATAACAGGGGAAACACAATAATTGGGAGTCTAAAAAATGCCTGCTTGCTAGAAGCCGATGGGATGTATTGTGTGAAGATGCATGATGTGATTCGTGATGTTGCTAAATGGATAGCTAATACCTTTGGGGATGAACACATTTCTGTTTTTCAAGCTGGAATTGGGTTGACAGAGATATCACATACTACTAAAGTATCAGCTGCTTCTGTCAAGAGAATATCATTCGCAAGCAACAAAATTGAATATCTACCTGATTGCTTCATGAAATGCCCAAAGACAACATCTTTACTTTTGCAAGACAATGAATCCCTTGTGAAAATTCCCGATAAATTCTTTTTGTCATTTCCAGTTCTAAGAGTTCTGAACCTGAGTGGAACTGGTATTAGAGCACTGCCTTGTTCCATCAATGAGTTACGTCAACTACATGCTCTAATACTACAAAATTGCAGCATGTTGAAAGAGTTACCATCTATTGGTAATCTTTGCAATTTGCAATTGCTTGATTGTGATCGTACAATGTTACGTTGCCTGCCGGAAGGAATGGACAAGTTGACAAATCTGAGGGTTTTAAATATGCCTAATTCTAATTTGGGGAGCAGCATCGGCCAAGGATTTTTCCTCAAATTTTCTAGCATTGAAATAGTAGACATGATGCATACCTGTCTTGGAGCAACTTCTTTTGATGAGCTATCATCTCTACGCAATCTGACTGGTCTTTTTATTACATTGGACAGCTCTTCGATTTTCAATAGAGACCACACCTGGATGAAAAGATTGAAACGATTTAGTATTGAAGTTGGGAAATTTTCATTTCATGTTCCATTCGACAAGTCAAGAAGGGAGATAATTGTCCACGAGTGTGAAACTTTCAGTAACGGAGAGCTCTCAAGCATGTTGCAGTTTGCTTCACATTTGCAGTTGGTAGCTTGCATGGGTCTTAGTAAGTTGATTGCAAACCAGTGTTTTAATGGATTAAAATCACTATACATTATCAACTGTCGTTGTGATTTTGGACCAGTGGAAGAAGGAAGTGGAAAGATTGACCCTCTTCCAAATCTGGAATATCTCAGCTTCTATTATGTAGATCATTTAAAGAGTGTTTCTGATTTCGGTCATTTTCTGGGTCTAAGATTTTCTAAATTACGCAAACTGGATGTATTCGGTTGTGATAATTTAACATGTCTTTTTAATGTTGGTGGAGCTTTTTCTGTACCCAGGCACTTGGAAGAAATTTCACTTTCCGGTTGTGATCATCTGACAGAGTTACTGGCACAATTCGTCTCAAGTCAGACGACACTCGTTAGTGCAGAAATTCCAAGAGTTCGAAAGTTATCTTTGGAAAACTTGCCAAAATTAGCAACTTTTGGGGAGGCACAGAGTATGTGGGAACACCTGGAGGAACTTAAGGTGGTCGGATGCAATGGAATAAGGAAGTTGCCTCTCTCTATTCAAACCTCCAATAACATCAAAGTGATAAGAGGATCATCAGAATGGTGGAGCCAACTGGAGTGGGATGACCACAACTACAAGTCAAATTTAGAGCATTGTTTCACGCAAGACTTACCCTGGGCTAGGAGTGGCAAACGAGCGAGTCGAGCCGAGCCGAATATGAGTTGATCAAAAAATGAGTTAAATAAAAATGGGTAAGTTACTCGACTCAACTCACATTTTAAATGGGTAAAAACGAGTTACCCAATGGATAATATGGATAACCATATTTACCCATATTATAATAAAAATCTTGTTAAAAGCTTTAAAAACAAAAACAAAAAATTAATTTTTTTTATCACTTCACTCCACCCCCTACCAGCCCCCCCTATCCCAAAAAAATGTAAAAAATAAAATAAAAAAATTTCCACCCCATACCAC